GTTTATACAATTTTCGAGGCTCCACAAAGCCAATAACACATGATTAGACGCCAAATGATCCGAAAACAAAAATACCAAAAGAAATGGTTTTCGTAAAAAAAATCAAACTAATTTTTTGAAAAACTCAATCTCGCAAAATAGACGCGATACACAACAACTAGCATTAAGCAAGCTCAGTAAATTTCGAGTATGCCAACAAAACGTGGTTAGACTCCAATTGATCGTTGTCAAAAAAAAGTCAACAAATTTTTGGAAATACGAAAAACTCAATCTCAGAAAGACAGACGAGAAATTCAACAACTAGCATTAACCAAGCTTTTATTAATTTTCGAGTTTCCTCTAGCCAAAAACCAAGGGTTAGATGCCAATCGATCCGAAAAGAAAATTGCCAAAATAGATTTTTGTCACAAACAATTCAATAAATCTATTGAAATACGAAAAATCAATCTCAGAAAAACAGACGAAAGCACAACCAATTGCATAAAGCAAGTATTTTTCGATCGTATATTGAGCCAACAACACGTGGCTGGACGCCAAATGATCCAAAAACAAAAATACCGAAACCAATGGTTGTCATAACAAAATTTTGGAAATATGAAAAAATCAATCTTGCAAAACAGACGAAGCACAACAACTAGCATTAATGCAAGATTTTAGTATATTTCGATTGTCCATTAAACTTAAAAGGTGTGATTAGATGCCAATCGATAAGGAAACAAATTTGCTAAAAAAGATGTTTAAAAAAACTCAAAAAAACTTGAGAAAAACGAAAATTCAATTTCAGAAAAAACCGAAAGCGTAACCTAAAGCACAACCAAAAAAATTACGCAAAATTTTTTTATTTTCAGAGCGTTCATTGAGCTAACAACACGTGGCTAGACGACAAATGATCCAAAAACAAAAATACAAACAGAAATGGTTGTCATGAAAAAGTTAAACACACTTTAAGAAATACAAAAAATTGAATCGCGCAAAACAGTTGAGCAACACAGCAAATAGCATTAAGCAAGGTTTTAACAATTTTCGAGGCACCACAAAACCAACAACACATGGTTAGACGCCCACTGGTCCGAAAACAAAACACCAAAAGAATTGCCATAAAAAATTCAACAGATTTTTGGGAATACGAAATATTCATGGGAATACGAAATATTCAATCTCGCAAAACAGACGAGAAACTCAACAACTAGCGTTAAGCAAGCTTTCAGTAACTTTCGAGTGTCCACTAAGCCTTATACTCCAATTGATCAAAAAAAATACCATTGGAAATTTGAGGAAACTGGATCAACAGAAAACGTTTTTATTTCGTGGAACCCTAAGTGCCACTTTCAAAACTAGTAAATGTTCACTAACTTTTGTGCCATTTCACGTTCGTAATTGGAGACTGCTGTTTACGCCACTTTCAGCAGATGAATTGCAAATGATCTCAAAAAGTGCATATATAACAGAGTGCATTCATAAATACATCAATATGTATGGACGCACACCTGTAGTTATTACAGCATTTAAAGACTTTCTCCTGAAACAAAAAAAAATACCAAGACCTATATAAGAGTCTTCACTACGTTCATTACTTTTGATACCGAAAGAAAAGGTTGTCATAAAAAAGCCACATATTTTTGCAAATCTGAAAAAGCAATCTCAGACGAAAAACACAACCACTAGCATTAAGCAAGCTTTTAGTATTTTCTGAGGTTCCACTAAGTTAACAAAAGGTGGTTAGACTCCAAGTGATCCAAAAGACTCCAATTGATCCAAATTGAGCCAACTGATCCGAAAACAAAATACCAAAAGAATTGTCATAAAAAATTCAACAGATTTTTGGGAATACGAAATATTCATGGGAATACGAAATATTCAATCTCGCAAAACAGATACATAACAATTAGCATTCTCAGTAACTTTCGAGTAGGCCAACAAAACGTGGTTAGACTCAGATTAATCGAAAAAAAAGACCATTGGAAATGGTTTGTCAAAAAAGTCAACTTATTTTTGAAAATACGAAAAACTTAATCTCAGATAGACAGAGGAGAAACACAACAGTTAGCATTAAGCGAGCTTTCACTAATTTTCGATTGTCCTCTAGCCAACAACCTGTGGTTAGATGCCAATCGATCCGAAAACCAAATTGCCGAAATAAATGTTTTTCAAAAACAAATTCAAAAAAATTATAGAAATACGAAAATTCAATCTCAGAAAAACAGACGAAAGCACAACTAAGAGCATAAAGCAAGGTTTCATCTTTTTCCGAGCGCCCATTGAGCCAACAACATGTGGCTAGACGTCAAATGATCCAACAAAAATCGAACAAATGGTTGCCATAAAAATTCAACAGATTTTCGGGAATACGAAATATTCATGGGAATACGAAATATTCAATCTCGCAAAACAGACGAGAAACTCAACAACTAGCGTTAAGCAAGCTTTCAGTAAATTTCGAGTGTCCACTAAGCCAACAAAACGTGGTTAGACTCCAATTGATCGAAAAAAATACCATTGGAAATGGTTTGTCAAAAAAGTCAACACATTTCTGGAAAAACGAAAAATTCAATCTCGCAAAACAGACTAGAAGCACAACGAGCAGCATTAAGCAAGCTTTCAGCAAATTTCGGAGTACACCGAGCCCAAAACACATAGTCAGACGCCTACTGATCCGAAAAAAAACCAAAACCAATGGTTGTCATAAAAAAATTCAACAAACTTTTGGAAATACGAAAAATTCAATCTCGCAAAACAGACGAGAAGCACAACAACTTGCACTAAGCAAGCTTTTAGTAACTTTCGGGTGTCCACTAAGCCAACAACACATAGTCGGACGCCAACTGATCCGAAAACAAAACATAGCCAATCGAAGATTGGAAAAGAGTAATGAACGCAAGTAAACATAAAAAACATTGACTTTGTTAAAAAAATCTCATCATTCAAATTTCAGAGAAAAAAAAGATTCCCTTTAAACACTTTCAATGTCTAGAACGATTTTATAAATAGCGCTTTTCTGATAACATAAACCCAATTTGAGGAAACTGGATCAACAGAAAACGTTCTTATTCCGTGGAACCCTATTAACTAAGTGCCACTTTATAAACTAGTAAACGTTCACTAACTTCTGTGCCATTTCACGTTCGTAATTGGAGACCGCTGTTTACGCCACTTTCAGCAGATGAATTGCAAATGAACTCAAAAAGTGCATTTATAACAAAGTGCATTCATAAATGCATCATATGTATGGACGCACACCTGTAGTTATTACAGCATTTAAAGACTTTCTCCTGAAACAAAAAAAAATACCAAGTCCTATACAAGAGTCTTCACTACGTTCATTACTTTTGATACCGAAAGAAAACGTTGTCATAAAAAAGCCACATACTTTTGCAAATCTGAAAAAGCAAACTCAGACGAAAAACACAACCACTAGCATTAAGCAAGCTTTTAGTATTTTCTGAGGTTCCACTAAGTTAACAAAAGGTGGTTAGACTCCAAGTGATCCAAAATACTCCAATTAATCCAAAAAATACCATTGAACATGGTTGTCAAAAAAGTCAACTTATTTTTGAAAATACGAAAAATTTAATCTCAGATAGACAGACGAGAAACACAACAATTAGCATTAAGCGAGCTTTCACTAATTTTCGAGGTTCCTCTAGCCAACAACCTGTGGTTAGATGCCAATCGATCCGAAAATCAAATTGCCGAAATAAATGTTTTTCAAAAAAAAATTCAATAAATTTATAGAAATACGAAAATTCAATCTCAGAAAAACAGACGAAAGCACAACCAAGAGCATACAGCAAGGTTTCATCTTTTTCCGAGCGCTCATTGAGCCAACAACATGTGGCTAGACGTCAAATGATCCAAAAAAAATCCATAACAAAGGGTTGTCATAAAAAAAAACTTTTGGAAAAACGAAAAGTTCAATCTCGCAAAACAGACTAGAAGCACAACAAGCGGCATTAAGCAAGCTTCCAACAAATTTCGGAGTACACTGAGCCCAAAACACATAGTCAGACGCCTACTGATCCAAAAACAAAAAAAAAACAAAGCCAATCAAAGATTGAAAAAGAGTAATGAACCCAAGTAAACATAAAAAAAACATTGACTTTGTTGAAAAAACCTCAACATTCGAATTTCAAATAAAAAAGATGCCCTTTAAGCACTTTCAATATCTACAACGAATTATGATTGGCACTTTTTTGATAACATGAACCCAACTTGAGAAAACTGGATCAATAGGTAAAGTTTCTATTCAGCTGGAAACCTAAAAACTAAATACCACTTACGAAGCTAGAAATGATTAACTATTTTTGCGCCATTTCCACGTTCCTATTTAGAGATTGCTATTTACGTAGTCACTTTCAGCAGATGAAATTCAATTAAACTCAAAAACGTCATATATAACTTAGTGCATTCATAAATGCATCAAACTGTATGAACGCACATGTGTAGTTATTAGAGCATTTTAAGACTTTTTCCTGAAATAAAAAAAACCAAGACCTATATAAGAGTCTTCACTACGTTCATTACTCTTAATACCGAAAGAAATGGTTTACCGAAAGACATTTTTCCATCAGCATAAATCGATTATCCAAAAGAAACTGGTACTAGTTTACTTTTTTGGTCCCTCAAAAATGCTGTGGTCCCTAATAAAATAAGAGATGCACTGTTTGGGTTAATCTTCGCAGTAAGCATCTTAATTTTTCTATGTTGATAACACGGGTACGATTAGTTTAGCGGGAACCAAATCGGTAAGCAACCCCAAGGCGTACTTCGAATCCCGATATGGCTTTTGTTTTTAAGAAAAAGGCGGGACCAATCATCTAAACTAGTTTTCTCACCGGACCAAACAACTAAATTTGTACCGAAAAACTTTCTTTGGAAATCGGAACATACGTAGAGGGGAAAACATGGTTCGTTTCATGATCGCACTACAGAAATAAAAGGAATGAAAATAAAATCTACAGAAAACACAAATTCTACACAGAAGAAACACCGCTTTTTTTTACCACAGCAAGACTTGTCAACTTTGTGGGACACTTTAGTCCACAGTTCAAGGTCAAATGCCACACCAGGCATTCGATAGATGCCACCTGGCAAGGTACACAAACACGCGTGAACAAATGAATGCTACTTCTTACATCGAAAACACTCAATCAATACTATATTGGGCATCGTTTAGCTAAATTTAGTAACGACAAAGTAGTCATAAACTGCTTAATCTTTCACTACCGTTTTAATTGTTTGTTCTTTATCGCACGTGCATTACATTTCACTCAAAACTTGAATCATAAATTTTCAAGTCATCATGATAACTAATCATACTAAAACGAGCGGGGGTTGGGAAATTAGACGAGAAGCAAATTAGACGTGACCAACAAAACGAATTTAGACGATATATTTTTTTTGCGAAACTAGCATTTTAGACGGAAAGCAAAGGGCTAACAAAACTTATTCCTTAAAACAATTTTTCATATAGCAAAAATAATGTATGATCCCATTGCATATCAAAATATTTATCTCAATTGATTTATAAAATGTTAATTTCAAGATTATAAAACATTTTTGAAATGCATAAGTTATACAATTGCGGCATGTGAAAAATGCGGAATGTGAAAATTGCGGCATGTGAAAAGTTTATTTGCATTTAAGAAAGCTGAACGAAAGTTAATTGTAGTCGGTAAACAAATTTCAGACACGGACAATACAATTACGTCTCATTTCCCATATTTGTAATTTTGCATCGCCGTCTAAATTCATTTTTGTTGGTCACGTCTAATTTGCTTTTCGTCTAATTTCCTAGGCCCCAAAATGAACATTTAACTAGGCATATAGTTGGGTGGTTAATTACACGGGACTAAGTGATCGACCCTAGTGTTAATATCGCCCTACTGCTTTAAAAGGTATGCTAAGCGTTGTGTATACCTTCCTTGTCCTGACTGATTGGGAATCCCTGTACTCTGGAGGGCAGGACGAAGCGCACTTTGTCACAAAACTCCTCGCAATCTAGTCTGTACTGGTCAGCGCACTTCGAAGCATATTGCTAGACAAACAAAACACAGTCTAAAACATTCCAACAAAAAAGGTCGTATTGATGAGATGCATTAAAGAATTGTGATAACCGCAACTCCGTATCCATCAATGAGTCTAAAAAAGGCATCCCATAAGCTTCAGAAGATGTCCTTTTACATTTCAACAATATTATTTGCCCCATAGGCAGCTAACTTATATCTGATTAGCCCAGTTAGGGGCAGCTCATTAGCGTCAAAAAAACGTTCAGAAATGAAATAATCTGTCACAAATACGCATTATATATTTGCAGTTTAGGTACCAAGTCACATATATATTGGTATTTTAAACTACAAAACATTATCTCCCCAATAAGCAGCTTATTCATATCTGTTAAGCTCAGTTAGGGGAGGACTTTTAGCGTCAAAAAAACTCCACATTTAATGAAATTACCGGTCAAATACGCAATAAATATTTGCAGTTTAGGTACCAAGATATAAAAAAAATGGCGTTTTGTACAACAAAACACTTTCTCCCCAATAAGCAGCTTATTCATATCTGAGAAGCTCAGTTAGGGGAGGATCTTTGTCATAAAAAAAGATCCACAATTGAATTAACCTGTCATAAACATTGATTACATATTTGCAGTTTAGGTACCAAGTCACGCATAAACTGGTGTTTAACACTGCAAAACATTATTTCCCCAATATGCAGCTTATTCATATCTGATAAACTCAGTTAGGGAGGATCATTAGCGGCAAATAACTTTCACAGTAAATGAAACTACCTGTCAAATACGCAATAAATATTTGCAGTTTAGGTACCAAGATATACAGAAAATGGCGTTTTGTACTACAAAACACTTTCTCCCCAATAAGCAGCTTATTCATATCTGAGAAGCTCAGTTAGGGGAGGATCTTTGTCATAAAAAAAGATCCACAATTGAATTAACCTGTCATAAACATTGATTACATATTTGCAGTTTAGGTACCAAGTCACACATAAACTGGTGTTTAACACTGCAAAACATTATTTCCCCAATATGCAGCTTATTCATATCTGATAAACTCAGTTAGGGAGGATCATTAGCGGCAAATAACTTTCACAGTAAATGAAACTACCTGTCAAATACGCAATAAATATTTGCAGTTTAGGTACCAAGATATACAGAAAATGGCGTTTTGTACTACAAAACACTTTCTCCCCAATAAGCAGCTTATTCATATCTGTTAAGCTCAGTTAGGGGAGGACTTTCAGCGTCAAAAAAACTCCACATTTAATGAAATTACCGGTCAAATACGCAATAAATATTTGCAGTTTAGGTACCAAGATATAAAAAAAATGGCGTTTTGTACAACAAAACACTTTCTCCCCAATAAGCAGCTTATTCATATCTGAGAAGATCAGTTAGGGGAGGATCTTTGTCATAAAAAAAGATCCACAATTGAATTAACCTGTCATAAACATTGATTACATATTTGCAGTTTAGGTACCAAGTCACACATAAACTGGTGTTTAACACTGCAAAACATTATTTCCCCAATATGCAGCTTATTCATATCTGATAAACTCAGTTAGGGAGGATCATTAGCGGCAAATAACTTTCACAGTAAATGAAACTACCTGTCAAATACGCAATAAATATTTGCAGTTTAGGTACCAAGATATACAGAAAATGGCGTTTTGTACTACAAAACACTTTCTCCCCAATAAGCAGCTTATTCATATCTGAGAAGCTCAGTTAGGGGAGGATCTTTGTCATAAAAAAAGATCCACAATTGAAATAACCAGTCACAAATCAGAATTAAACATTTGCAGTTTAGGTAAGAAGTCACATATGAAATGATGTTTTATACAGCAAAACATTCTCTTCAATCAGCAGCTTATTCATATATGTTAAGCTCAGTTAGGGGAGGATCTTTGTCATAAAAAAAGATCCACAATTGAATTAACCTGTCATAAACATTGATTACATATTTGCAGTTTAGGTACCAAGTCACACATAAACTGGTGTTTAACACTGCAAAACATTATTTCCCCAATATGCAGCTTATTCATATCTGTTAAACTCAGTTAGGGAGGATCATTAGCGGCAAATAACTTACACAGTAAATGAAACTACCTGTCAAATACGCAATAAATATTTGCAGTTTAGGTACCAAGATACACAGAAAATGGCGTTTTGTACTACAAAACACTTTCTCCTCAATAAGCAGCTTATTCATATCTGAGAAGCTCAGTTAGGGGAGGATCTTTGTCATAAAAAAAGATCCACAATTGAAATAACCTGTCACAAATCAGAATTAAACATTTGCAGTTTAGGTAAGAAGTCACATATGAAATGATGTTTTATACAGCAAAACATTCTCTTCAATCAGCAGCTTATTCAAATATGTTAAGCTCAGTTAGGGGAAGATCTTTATCATAAAAAAGATCCACAATTGAAATAACCTGTCACAAACATGGATTACATATTTGCAGTTTAGGTACCAAGTCACACATAAACTGGTGTTTAATACTGCGAAACATTATTTCCCCAATATGCAGCTGATTCATATCAGTTAAAGTCAGTTAGGGAAGATCATTAGCGTCAAAGAAAGTTCGCATTTAATGAAATAACCGGTCAAATACGCAATAAATATTTGCAGTTTAGGTACCAAGATATTCAGAAAATGGCGTTTTGTACTACAAAACACTTTCTCCCCAATATGCAGCTTATTCATATCTGAGAAGCTCAGTTAGGGGAGGATCTTTGTCATAAAAAAAGATCCACAATTGAAATAACCTAGACAAATCAGAATTAAACATTTGCAGTTTAGGTAAGAAGTCACATATGAAATGATGTTTATACAGCAAAACATTCTCTACAATCAGCAGCTTATTCATATATGTTAAGCTCAGTTAGGGGAAGATCTTTATCATAAAAAAGATCCACAATTGAATTAACCTGTCATAAACATTGATTACATATTTGCAGTTTAGGTGACAAGTCACACATAAACTGGTGTTGAACACTGCAAAACATTATTTCCCCAATATGCAGCTTATTCATATCTGTTAAACTCAATTAGGGAGGATCATTAGCGGCAAATAACTTTCACAGTAAATGAAACTACCTGTCAAATACGCAATAAATATTTGCAGTTTAGGTACCAAGATATACAGAAAATGGCGTTTTGTACTACAAAACACTTTCTCCCCAATAAGCAGTTTATTCATATCTGAGAAGCTCAGTTAGGGGAGGATCTTTGTCATAAAAAAAGATCCACAATTGAAATAACCTGTCACAAATCAGAATTAAACATTTGCAGTTTAGGTAAGAAGTCACATATGAAATGATGTTTTATACAGCAAAACATTCTCTTCAATCAGCAGCTTATTCATATATGTTAAGCTCAGTTAGGGGAAGATCTTTATCATAAAAAAGATCCACAATTGAAATAACCTGTCACAAACATGGATTACATATTTGCAGTTTAGGTACCAAGTCACACATAAACTGGTGTTTAATACTGCGAAACATTATTTCCCCAATATGCAGCTGATTCATATCAGTTAAAGTCAGTTAGGGAAGATCATTAGCGGCAAATAACTTTCACAGTAAATGAAACTAACCTGTCAAATACGCAATAAATATTTGCAGTTTAGGACACTTTCTCCCCAATAAGCAGCTTATTCATATCTGAGAAGCTCAGTTAGGGGAGGATCTTTGTCATAAAAAAAGATCCACAATTGAAATAACCTGTCACAAATCAGAATTATACAATTGCAGTTCAGGGAAGAAGTCACATATGAAATGATGTTTTATACTGCAAAATATTCTCTTCAATCAGCAGCTTATTCATATATGTTAAGCTCAGTTAGGCGAGGATCTTTATCATAAAAAAGATCCAGAATTGAAATAACCTGTCACAAATACGGATTACATAATTGCAGTTTCGGTACCAAGTCACATATAAACTGGCGTTTTATACTGCAAAATATTATCTCGCTAATATGCAGCTTATTCATATCTGTTAAGCTCAGCTAGGGCAGGATCATAAGCGTCAAAGAACGTTCGCAATTAATGAAATAACCGGTCAAATACGCAATAAATAATTGCAGTTTAGGTACCAAGATATACAGAAAATGGCGTTTTGTACTACAAAACACTTTCTCCCCAATAAGCAGCTTATTCATATCTGAGAAGCTCAGTTAGGGGAGGATCTTTGTCATAAAAAAGATCCACAATTGAAATAACCTGTCACAAATCAGAATTATACAATTGCAGTTCAGGTAAGAAGTCACATATGAAATGATGTTTTATACTGCAAAACATTCTCTTCAACCAGCAGGTTATTCATATATGTTAAGCTCAGTTAGGCGAGGATCTTTATCATAAAAAAGATCCAGAATTCAAATAACCTGTCACAAATACGGATTACATAATTGCAGTTTCGGTACCAAGTCACATATAAACTGGCGTTTTATACTGCAAAATATTATCTCCCTAATATGCAGCTTATTCATATCTGTTAAGCTCAGCTAGGGCAGGATCATAGGCGTCAAAGAACGTTCGCATTTAATGAAATAACCGGTCAAATACGCAATAAATATTTGCAGTTTAGGTACCAAGATATACAGAAAATGGCGTTTTGTACTACAAAATACTTTCTCCACAATAAGCAGCTTATTCATATCTGAGAAGCTCAGTTAGGGGAGGATCTTTGTCATAAAAAAAGATCCACAATTGAAATAACTTGTCACAAACATTGATTACATATTTCCTGTTTAGGTACCAAGTCACACATAAACTGGTGTTTAATACTGCAAAGAATTATTTCCCCAATATGCAGTTTATTTATATCTGTTAAACTCAGTTAGGGAGGATCATTAGCGGCAAATAACCTTCACAGTAAAGGAAACTACCTGTCAAAAAAGCGTTTAAAAAGCAGTTTAGGAACAAACAGATACAGAAGATGGCGTTTTTAACTACAAAACGCTCACTCCCGAATCAACAGCTTTTTCATATTTGAGAGGCGCAGTTAGGGGAGG